AGTTTGTTGACGACAGACAGTAAGCAGATTGGGCGATAGCTGCCGATATCGTGCAGGTCACCCTTCTTGAACAATACCACGGTCTTGCTGGTCTTCCACTGAGTAGGGACCTTGCATCCAGACAGGTAACATAAAGAGCCGAGCCAATGTGTTTACGAGGACTGGTGGAAGGTTCTTCAGGTGTTCTGAACTTATCCTGTCCGGACTAGGTGCTGTTCGATTTTTCACCGACGAAATGGCATGTCGGATTTCGGAAAGGAGAACCGGTGGTACAACATATCCATCCTCCTTTATTTCATATGAAGGAAGGTGGACGTGGCTGTCGAAGAGATGCGAGTAGTATTTGTGAATGATTTTCTCCTTTACCTTCCTGAACGCTGTAACTGTTCTGTCTGGGCGCTGGAGAGCAATCATTTTGGTCATGTAATTGACGAAGCTTCGGTGGGCTTTGCGAATGCTTTTCCCAGCCTCTGCACCTTCGACTATTCCTGCTGCTCTTTTCTCTAAGATCTTCTTTTATCGCCTCTCTGCATTGCTTGGTAAGTTCGGACGTTAGTTCGCGGTTGCCTGCAGCTCGTGCGATTCCACGCTGGCGTCTCAGCTCGAGTGTTTCTGGAGACAAACGTCTCTTGGTGACTTTCGAACCCTGAGCTTTCTTAGTCCTAGCGTGAAGTTGCTGAATGAGCCGATCGTATTCTTCGTCGATGTTATCGACAAAGGCATCTTCCCAACAGCCGCCTAATGAATTGAATAACTCCCAGTTTACGGTGGTTTTGGGACTTCGGTTTTGGAATTTAGCGGCTTTTTCTCCATTACGAGAGAAATAAAATCTTGCTTGAAGGAGACGATGGTCTGATCTCGTGTAGAATTTTGAAACAACAGCGACATCATTTAGACAAAACTTTCTATTTACTATGATATGGTCTATTTCGTTATAGTACTCTCTATTGGAAGACTCCTACGTCCAGCGCTGAGGGTGGGGCTTCTGGAATTGCGAGTTACCATGGATTGTGTTGGTCGCCATGATAGACCTAGACAGCCGCTCACCATGGAGTGGAAATATAGTCACGCAATTATATGGTTTCCTTTCACGGAGTCTTCGATCGCCGTATTAGAGATCTCAAATGGAGGACGGAAAGTAATTTGTAAGTTGACACCGCAGCAAAAGCGCGTCGAGGCTTCGGCGCAGTCACTCTGATACATCAGAAATTTGATGCGTTCACGAGTACAGCTTTTATCCAATGTCGAAGCTCTGCTAACTTCTCTTAATAAAATATTTGCTATGAAATTGCAAAAAGTTTCTTTTTGGATATCTTTCCTCAGGTACATGTTTACCTCATCGCCATACGGAAAAAGCGGCTTTACATTTCAAGAGCATTACGGTTCTTTCTAAAGTCTTTAGGTTGTCCGGCAGATAATCTTCTCTTCTTTATGAGTACTTCATAAGGAATTTTAAAGTGAAAATTTCAGCTCACTAGTTTAACCCTCTGGTTTTCACTTTATAACGACTTCTGTCCAGTTTATTGCATTAAATCAAGGAACGAAAACAACGATAAAAGTTTTCTTAAATGAGTTCTTGACTTGTACGTAAAGTTGAATAAGCTGGTCGCAATAGAACAGCTGCGTTTAGCGAAAAAGTTCTAAGATGCAAAAGAACAGCTTTGTCCTTTGTCCCTAAAAGTACAGTGATGGGAATCCATAAAGATGAGGCACTAATGATAACTCGGTGCCATAAACAAAGACCATCTGAAGACACTAGTGGAGACTAATCTTCTCATAACGGTTTGATACTTTGAGGAACAACCAGGAGTATATTAAATAGCAGTTTCCCCGACCATTCCAAGCGAGTTGCGAAGTCAAAAAGGACGACAAATGGGCGCCGTGACTTATAGCAAAAAAATGAATTTCTATGGCAAACGATCAAGCCCTGGGTAAGGTCTTTAAAAAATTTCGTCCCGATTTGTGAAAACGTTTGTAAACAGTGATCATTACCAGAGACTGAATGTACACTTTTCTCTAGATAACCGTATGAAACATATCCTCACACAAAAGTAGTTGGTGAGCTAACAGGAAACTCTTGCACTAGTAAATAAAAGATGTTCACTCATGTTACGTTTTTAGCACTTCCGGATGTGAAAGGCTCACCGACAAATATCGTAGCGATCAAACATGCTAAGTGTATGATTGTTTAAGCCTCTCCGTGCTAGAGTTAACGCACATCCACGCATAAACAAACGCTTTCCGGTGGGTTGTCCTGGAACATTCATTCTTCTACTAAACAAATCTGCATTCTACCTCAAAGCAGATTGGGTTAGAGCCCATTGGCTGGAACCCCCGGCCGGTCACCCACCCATCACGTAGAGTTCCTGCTGGACGGTGAGGCATATCGTCCGACACGATACCAAATGCATCGATTCCGGATTCATTGGTTCGTCACATTGATGCGAAAAGTTTTTTGGTGCTGTGAAAAACCTGCGAAGAAGAGAAATGAGCCTACTTCGTAATTTTTTCCAAGTGAATTAACAGAATTTATTCTGAAAAATGTCAGCTAGTCTTCACAGTTTTGATAGGTTTGTACTGAGAGAACCATAAACTTTGGTTGTTGTGGATAGGATAGGACGATTTACTAAAATCAACGCATATTTTGAAAACTGAGATTCCCATTAGAAACCGTCGATAAGTACATACAGCGAACGTTAGCGTAGCTGTAAAACTTACTAGGGAAGTGAAAATAGTGGCCAGTATTATGTAAATCTGCCCACGGTATTCACTTACGTTAATTTATTGAGGATTTAGTAACTCGAACACTTGAGCGCCCCGTCTTCGTTAATTATTGAGGGTTTTTTTTTTACTGCAAATTCGCAAATTCACTAAGACTTTCTCTCGGCGGAGGTCTAGAAGTCATTTAAAGACTCTTACAGATCTTTATCACTTCAGCTGCTAACACCTCTGGCGATGATGAAGCGCCTATAAGGTACACCTTTAGCGACGATGAGACGCGAAGCGAAGTATCTATGATTTAACAGCACGAGAAAAAAAGGCAGAAAACAGCGAAAGGAATATTATCTAGGCTAGGTGGAGTCGCGTAGTCAAGTACGTTAACTTGTGAAGTAATTCATTAATTGATCGGTGGAAAATTGGAGTACATAAAGAGACATTTTATCCAGTTTCCGCTTAAATTGCCCGACTCTGTTACCTCGGATCTCATGATGGTAATGGGAGAGTAAAAGCTAAATCGGCATACTACTTACACTGATAAATACCTGATATTTACTGATGTTCAACCACTGCAGAGTTAAAGCGCCAGCAACGAACAATGGTTGCAGAGTTTAGTTTTAAGGTCTTGTGTAAGAGCAAGCACTTCAGCAAAGCGATGGTGAGTTCACAATAGCTTAGTCTAATGTCATACAGTATACTATACAGTATACATACGATACAGAGTGTATGTAGTATAGTAGTGTTGTAGCACAGAATTTTTAAAATTTTTAAAAATTTAAAAACAAAATTTTATAATTATCTTCAACAGTACTGAACCGAATCCAACCTGTTCAAACCGTTTTTGAAAAATTCCTCGTACATGGGCGACATGCAGCTGTAGCAGCGGTTTTGCCGATACATGCCTAAAATAAGGATCAATATTTAATTGTAACATTTTTGTATAAAGCAAAATTGCACTTCTGACCTGCCTTAACATTTGTTAATAGAATATATATACATATGGTCAACATTTGCTATCATAATGCGCGCCGCATTTCCTGCAAGAGATACTGTACATTTCAAAGGGATTAATTAAATACAAATCGTTAACGATACACGACCGATAAAGAACATGAAAGCAAAGATGAAAGCGATGATTGAAAAGTCAAAGGCAAATAAAAGAGAACATTGATGATTGGGTGATTGTTGATGGCCCTGGCTGATATATAACTGTCTGAGAAACAGACGAAACGAAGGACCCGCATGGTGTGGCGGTGAACGCGTTAGCCTCTCGAAAGGGTAACAGCGCGTTTGTTCCCAGACATCTGCGGTTTGGAGTCTCAGCGTCATTATGGTTGTATCACACATAGTACCCCGCCGTGAAAATTTTTAAAACATGAAAACAGCATGAAAAGTTAACATCGTCATTTAAAAGGCAATATTCTATGAAAATATCGGTGTGCATTGCATAAAAGCAGAAGACTGATAGAAGAGTTAAGCATTGATTTTCCGCTAGTAATAACGGAATTCAATTGATTTCGAAAGATATAACTATAGAAATGAGGATTTTCTTGTAACGGGAAACGCATAACGAAAACAAAGTGAATAAGCTAAATCGGATATATTGCAAACAAGAGCACTGAAGTGTGGAAAAATTCAACAAAATGTGAGAAGCGGTGGGGCCAACTTACAGGTGATCTGAATGGGAAATGGAACGAGTCGAGAGTAATATTGAGCCAGAAGGAAAGGATATAACTCTTTTACGGGAGGATTAACCACAACTGTCACGCCCAAACTCTCCCATGTAGTTGAGAACGAATAATTTTCGCGACGAGCAGGTAATCGGAGGGATGCCCAGAAAAACGTGCTAGATGGGGTAGACATAGGTGAAATGCCGTACGAAAATGCTAACATTGAAACACAAGTCATCTTTGTGGTGTGACTAACGAGTAATGGGACCTAGTCCCCCTCTGAGCAGAAGATTTTGTTGACGGAAAGCAGAAAGTGATAAATAACTCTACGAGTAGCCTCAAATTAGAGAACCCATGATGGATAACTGGGATCGAATTTTTTGAACAATGGAAATCAGAAATAAAGCTATAGCTCACAACGAAATGGAATGAAGCTATTCATCTCCATACGTTTTGGCTGTCGTTAAATTGCCCATCAGGCTTTGCGAAGAGGATACTCGAAATGAGTGACGAAAAAGCCCTTGAACTCCACTCGCCATATGGAAAGAGCGAATTTCCGCGAAAAGTTATTTCCATAGTAAGATAGGGACAGAGCTACCAATGAATGTGTTTTTCTTGCTCTTATTTTTAATACCGCTCAAATATTTAAATCTCATTCAAAAAGCTTGGCATGATGTGCTTTCTCAACTTCTTAGATCAGAAGACCTTTCCATTCACCAACTAGTCACTGACCTCTGGAAGAGACTATAAACAATGTTTTTATTTTATTTTAGAACACTGTGGAAAAGCGAGACTGAGTCTTAAATTCGAGTCCGGTCATCGACCACTACTCTGACGAAGGAGCACCTCATATTAATTTCAAGCAAATCGCCAAAAGAAGTGACAGTTGAACTTTCGTTCGTTTCTACGAATTCCCATATGTGTTAGTAACTCTTGGATATGAATGATGAAAATAATCGAATGGGATTTGAAAGAACAAATGTTGTTTTCCCTGATGTGGAAACTAATGAAAACGACTGAGGAAAAAAATGAAAGTTAATGACAATAAAAGGAATGAATAGATTAAATGAATATGCTGTTGAATACACGTCCTTGGTTTATCGATATTTTGTTTGAACAAAACTGTACCCTTACTCGCATTGGGATCGCGCTTCCAACTAAGAGTGAAGCCAGCAATGCTAAGCAAAATAAGAAAAAAACCTTTAGAATTTTTATGAATTTTTCTAAAACATAAGAGAGAAGGTAAAAAGGAAAAATGAGGTAAAAAAGGAAACGAAAATGAAATGGGTAAATATGAAACGAACAAAACTCTTACGATACAGGAGGAATTACTGGAGAACATTATCGGCAGCACAATTTTGTGTAGTGGTCGTATGTTATATGATGAACATTTTCATGTTCATTAATTTAATATCCCCTACTGCTTGTTATTTACAGCAGTAAACAAATAAAATATTTGACGAAGAGTGGTGTCTTTTTCGACGATGTCCAAGGGATTTTATGTTGGCGAGAAAAGCACCAGATTTAAAGATAATAGAAAGACTCGTGCGGCACTCTACTCCACTGGATTCGACCCCATGTAAGAACAGGCTTCAACATCACAAAGGAGAGAACGACTATGAACGCTCGACTCGGATTAACGCGGCTCTGAAAGATCCGAAGGTGCCGGAAATACATTAATCACAGTAAAGATTCGGTAGCATCCTCGTGTAAGCTCATAAATAGAACAGAATAGGGAAGGTGATAGAAAACTTGAAGTGATGATGCAAACTAATAAATACTCTATCTTAGAAGTAACATAATGAAAGGCTGGCTGAAATTAGAAGTCGACGCTAACAAAATTGAGAAGGTGTTGATCCTCGAGAAAATTCCGCTTCCAACCGAACAAGACCTCGGTGCTAGATTAAATTGCCTAAATAATTTCATCATTCGTAGAATAGTAGTAGTGCAGTGAGTACAAGATATAAATTACCTCGTTAGTTACATAACATAATGATTGCCGGCGTCAACAGACATATCAGGAATGAGATGATTATCTCTAACATGAAGCCGAGCAACTCTAGCAAGCCCTCAGATGCAACTCGCACAAAGAACAGACATATTAACCCGCATACTTAACCACGCTAGGAATGGAGTGCGCATGAAATGCAGTGGTTAGGGAAGCTCTAAAATGCACAAGTGGTCGTTGGATCGGTTTCGCGCGTCGAACCTACCAGCCTTTCTATACTTCTGGAGTCGAAAAATTGGTGCCAGACTGATCTGAGAGATTGCAATACTGAAATGGAATACCACGGTTGGCTATCGCAAGTCACTGTAGAGGCCAGATATGCATTCATCCACATCTCCGTTGCCTGATAAAGTCGAATGCATGACGCATCCTCAGGATTGGTCAACGTTGAACACTTTATACTTTACTATCCCATTTTAGGAATTTCGGAACCTTTGTTGGGCCAGCATTTTATGCGCCTAATGCACAAAACTGGTTCCGAAGCTTGTTTTAGTAGAATCTCAATAAAGTTATGGGAAAGACATAAGATTTTAGCATTAGTTTGAAGCTATATTCTTTCTAATTCTCTTCGAAAAAAAGTCGTCATAGCCAACTATCCAGCTTTCCTGGTTATGACGATGGTTATGATGGAAAGAGGGGCGAGCTTAATGTGTCACAAATTAATACATAACGCCCGATGCGGATTGCGCGTAATGTATTTGGCACAAGAAAAGCCCTCCTTCAAGTTTAAGCCGACATATCTCAGTTCAAGTTAAGCTTCACAAGCTATAATAAAAACCATTAAAATCTGTAGATCGTTAAATACAAGATACGAATTCTCCCAGTCAATCGGAATCAAGCTGTGACCTTCTGGATTCCAATAAACGCACTTTCTCGTTAAGGTTCTTATTCAGAAAAGATGAACGAACTAAGGATTTCACGTGTCAGACATGTCGTCGAATGTATCATTGCTGTTTTCAACAGCTAAACTTGTGTTGGAGCTTCGGAGAGTTGAATTTTGCCTCCAATTTTCGAAACGTTTAATTCTAAGTATGTTTAAAAGTAAAATGCTGTTTTATGAAGATTATACACATAAACATGCTGACCTCGGCACCTCAGGAAAAAATAATGGCTAGTCCAGCAAAACTCCGAAAAATGGAGATCATGCTGGGGCCCTCACAACCAGTGAGGACAGGCTGTTTAAGTATCGAAGTAAGTAAGTAGGTGCACACGTAAATACACGACAATAGAGTAAAGTCTCTTCGATAAGATTGAGTCACAACTCCTCAAATGCTTTAAACATTGAAAAACTACCAATTGACAAAAAACGAGCTTTGGGTTAAATACGTGTTAAATAGAATCTAGAATCCACAAACAAATACTGAACCAGATGAGTAGGTACCACGTTAACACTTTCTTAAGGCAGTAGAATAATTATGTAGGCTACGCTTGAAGTTCTTTAAGTGAAAGCGGGAAAGAGGCTCATTTATGACGAGTACAAGTAAAAAAATATAACAGAAAAAATGGCAGATCACTTCGTGAGGTTCAAAGCGCCTTCTTTGCTCAACTGTGTAACCATCATTCTTCATCATCCCTGAAGCTCAAATCTGTCAAAAAATATCAACGAACATGTTCAAGTGCACGCCGCTATAATTGACTATTGTACTGTTAAATATATTTTTTTCATACGATCGTCACATCTACTGTGCGGATCCCAGGTCTTCTCACATTCGGTTGGTTTTCTCACATCCAACATCCCCTATGGTCTTCCAAGTGTCACGTATAGCATTAGCTGCAGCTTTAAAAATTTTCATTTCA